GAGGATTTATCGGGAAGCTCAGCAAAGACAACTATTTCAGCACATCATAAGGTGAGGATGGCTGACTATATTGCTTATAATTAGTGAGTTAATTTCACGAGACTACCGAAGGTAATTAAATGTGTTTTTATGGATTATTAATGATTAATAATGCCTAAAAATGAAAAGAGTAAATGTCTAAAGAAAAAGGGAGCATGATATACAAATTTATGAGTAAATTGTGTATGTTCATGTGTTATGAGTATGTTGCCTTGAAAGTGGAATTTATTATGAAACATATGTTGAAATATACTTTTTCTTCATATTAGAATATATGAGTGATTAAAAGTGATATTTTGAATATTGAGATAAATGATATTTTCAAAGGAAAATCAGTTGGAATTGTCTATATGACTACGAGTTGAGAACTTGGTTTGTTGATATTAATTTGACTAGTATTAAGATACTAGTTGGACATTAAAATGAAATGTTGTTAAGATTGATCCTAAGGTTGGATTGTGAAATGTTATGCCTTAAGTAGTCTTAAGAGATACTTCAAGGTAGGAAAGTATGAACTCTAAGTTATACTAGGGGTAGGCCTTAAGGGATACCCAAGTTAATGCAAATATTAATTGATCCTAAGTATAGGATTGGCCTACGGGTGTGTTCGGTAGTCCTTGTGGATAGCCGGTCGAATTATGGAAATAGTAAGGACCATGGCCCTTCCCGACTCTAGAGAGCGGGGTTGGATAGCATGGACTTACATCGTGATCACGGGTTAGGGTGGAATCCGAATCGGAGACCTAACTAGGTTCCGGTAGCGGTAACACATAAGATAGGACCCCGAAGGGCCTTACCTTCCTACGGGATGATGCGTACGAGTCCAGGGGCGGGATGTTGGAGTCCGAACCGGGAGCCTCATGAGGTCTCGGACAGCGGTAGCAAGTCCCGTAGAAATAATAAGACCCAAGGGTTGGGTTGTGCAAATGATAAATGAAAAGAAACATATAAGAAGGACCGTGTGCCGACAGATAAATAAATTCACTTATTATGAAGATAATAAGTGGGAAATATAAATTGTTATTTATATTATGATATCACCCTATTTTGAGGGTCTTGGAAATTAAAACGTCGATTATACTTAGTATAGTTGCTATTGTACTTGTCAAATATTTCCAAGTACTGACCTCCCCTTCACGGGGGAGGCCACCTCACAGTTTCAGGTAGGACGTGAAGGTTACTACCGGTGCCCGTTGCTCGGGATACTCAAAGGAGAAGACGTGGTTCGTGCTTCTTCTGTTTTCTGATTTCAAACAATTATAATAGTGCTCATGGATATTATTTTGAATAACTATTTGGGGGCTTGCATGCCCATGTTTGCCAAAGTGTGGCTAAGACACTTTTATTAAATGCTTCCGCTGTTTTAAATGAATGTTTTACATTATGTTTGTTTATGGATGTACTATGTGTGAATGATATTCATGACGTCTTGTATAGTATGGATGAGTTGGACTACGGTTGACTATTCGTACTGTACGGCGGGTTGTTGACGTGTCCGGCTAGGTCCGGGGCGTGACAAATTTTCTCTTTATAGTTCATACAAGCCTCTCGGCCATAACTCCTAGTCATCTTATTTGATGGCTTACAATTCATACAGGCCTCTTGACCATATCTTCTTCGAGTAAAGGAACCTCTGTAAGCTCTCCAACACAAAGCTCTGATCCAAACTCCAAAAAATCTGAGGCGACTTTGTAAGTCCTCAAAAATATAAGGGAAAATAGTATTTACAACTCCCTAAACGCGTCTCCCCCTTTAGCATTAACGGCGGGGGGAGAGAGTGGCTAAGTTGAAGGGTTGAGCCACTTCCCAGCTCACCCCTTGAGGAGTAAGTCTTCACACTTACCGAGTAAGTGTGAAGATGAACCTCCCTAAAAAAGTGATACTAGCCACAAGCCTAAGCTACTTGATGGTCCTGACCTTGAAAGCAGAGAGCATTGTGGGTATTCAAAGAGTAAGAATACAAGGAATTTACCCTTCAAAGATGGAATAACTCTTCCCTTTTTACTTCATCTTCTAGAGGATTTTTACAAAGTAATTTTTCAAAACACTTAGTGCCAAGAAAAACTTATCCAGAATTGGGAAAATCATATTGCTAACCATGCGACAGTTGTGAAGGGAAAGCCTACTCATCTATCAGCTCCTCTCGTAGATCGGTGCGGTATTCGAAGTAGTAGAGCGAGCTTATGTGCTTGAAGGGAATGGTCTGGGAATTGGTTTCGCCCGAAGCATCGGACCAATGATCACCCACGACTTCTGTTTCACGCAATTTCGACTCGAAAATGAGTCAAATCCCTCTTCATGCCGTTGGTCTATGGTAAGACAGGATTGATTCACAGTCCTAGAAGTCTCAATATATGCACTCAAAATAAATACAATACAATAAATATACGTAGTAAATTGAAATAAGGTTCGTATCCACAGGGAAAGGAATACTTTTCTTTTACGTAACTAGTAACAAGCGGTGTTTTTGATTTGATTTAATAATACTAAGATGAACAACCTATATGAGTTTAATTAATAGAGATGGGGACTTGGTTTTGCTTTTATCCACTTAATGAAATGTTCGTCGATCCCGATTATATCTTTAACTATCTTCCTCTCGAATACTCAATCGAGGGGTATATCCAGTTCATCGAGGGTAGTTATTAATAACGAGACGCGTTCATTAATAAAACTTACTACCGAGTTAATATAGAACACGCGCCGTATATCAACTCGACAGTAGCAATAAAATCAAGATGAAAACGATTGAGATTGATAACCTCAATACAAGCGGTTTATTGGTTTAATCAACATAATTAATTCCCCTTAAATTATTAACCATGAGACGCATGCATTAATAATCCAAATTTACTACCGTGAATGAACCGAATTAATAACAAGCGTATTAATCGATTGACTCTAGTAATAATTAATATATGAAACAAAACTAATTGATCCTTTAAGTAATGCTCAAAATATTAATATGGAATATGAATAGGAAATAATTAATATTCAAGGAAGAAGATTAAAGAAAATAACTCACAACTTACAAATTCATTAAGCTTCAAAGTAGCAAAACCAAGATGGAAGAGTTTAGCTCCTCATTTGGAGACTAAACATGAAGAAAATATAAAGAAAAAGCTTGTCTAAACTGAGCTAAGAAGTATATGTGAATTGATCATTTTTGTGGGAAGGGAAGGGGGAGTATTTATAGGCTTTTGGAGCATGCAGGGGTGTGTACCCGATCGGGCATCAAGGACACCTGATCGGGTACCTTCAGTGGCTTCCCGGAAGCTCGAAAAGTGGGACATACCCGATCGGGTATGTCGGTCACCCGATCGGGTATGACACTCGAACGTGATCAAATATCTTCCTGCATGTTGCCTTGTCCCGGATCTGATCCGATTTGATATTTCAACAAGGTACCCTACCCAATCGGGTATAGGTCATACCCGACCGGGTACAGACCAAAAATCAGGATCCTCTATTTCTTTTGTGATTTTGTACCTGCTTTCCACTTTTGGGGTTTCACCAACGGTCCCTTGAGTGGTCATGGACCTGTTTGAGCTCAGAATAAACCTAATCTAAACAATTTACAAGTATTTTACAAACTAAACTTTTACATCAAAAGTGTGTAATTTCCAAAGTACAATCAATCAAAACTAATCAACGCTCGTAGGCAGACTATCTTGGGCTTCCGCTCCTTGATGGGCCTGATCGATTGGGCCGACTCGAGCTCTAGATCATCGGGCTTGGACCTGCTGGTTCAAGTTTGGGGCCTGGACCGATTAGGCTCTGGACCTAGTCCTATAACCCCATCAAACATAAACATGGAAATTACTTGAATGTCAATATCCTAATCGCAATAACACTAATCCTCACAAGACTGATATAAACTATGCACACAAAAAAGGAATTGTCTAACATAATAAATACAAAGTATATACAAAAGTAAAGTAAAAAGCTGCATCATTGGATAAGAAATGGCCAAAACACAATATTATCTACCCGACTTTTAATAAACACAATTATCTTTTTTGGGGGCGACCTCAAAATGACCAAAAATTACAGCGCCACCGGACAAGGTAAAAATCCTAATGAAATGAAGGTCTCATAGGCACACTACCCGACACCCGTCTACCCGAATCGATGGAAGACTCTTTTAGTGAGAACTGAGAACTAGTGATCTTATTTCTACATAAACGGATAAAACTCCCATTTTACAAACCAAATTCGTTTGATCAGCTACAGTGTAAAGAGTACATTTATCCAAGTCTACTACACTGCAAAGGATAAAAGAAAGCACTACAAAATAAACGAAGCACTAGACATACTCCAGAATAAAGTCTACGATATCAAAACCCGCGGCCTAACAAGGGAAAAACTGTTCACCTAGCATTATCATAATTCATAACAGTCCACCACCATCAAAACCAACGGCAGAAAGAAATACACTCCTTAGTCCCTACCAACATTTTCTATGCAAATGAAAGTAGCAGTTTATGCCCTCGGTTTGGATAATAGCGGATTCAGCAACTCGCTGATTAATTTTAATACCAAAGCGCTGCAAAATGCAGCGGTTAGCTAGCGACCCGCTGAAAAACAAATGATGCCTATGTTGTTATTGCAAAACTAATAGCACCTTCTACCAACCACCGATAAAGATTGTTATCATTTGGTGCCACCGCTAACAATAGTTGCAACTTTCTAGAGCTGCTATCAATAGTAGATGCCACTACCATGTGCCAATGGCAATGGCAGGTTCTATCATCTAACACGACCATTGGCAGACACTACTGCTACACGCCAACGCCACTACCACAGAAGATAGTAGCAGTACTTCTAATGCAGCACCATGCTCAACAACCACAACTTTTAATGTAGTAGACATAAGCCAATTGTAAATCAAAGTATAGTCAAGTAGTTTTCGGTTGTTATATCAATAACCAAAGATATGGTAAGATTCATTCACCATTGGGGAAGGATTCACCACAATAAATATGTGCGCTACGAACTTATATTTTAGGCTTTAATAGAGGTAGAATAATAGTACAATCTTAGCAAGCAGTATACCTAAGACACTGTAATTTGGCATTTTGTAATAATTGACTAAATAAATCACACAATATAATAGCAAGGTGTCTTATAGATGTCCAGGAAGCAGAAGTGAACAATATTATGGTATAAATTAGCATGGAGGATCTCACGAGAGGCTAATGGATGACTGAGTTCCTCTTGCAACCTTTATAAACACATCCTCTAAGGTTGTATCTGCTAGGCCCCATGCATGAATGGTAAATCTTCTCTTTGCATTTTGAATGGCACGGAAAACATCCACAATGCTTATCTCATGCTTTGGCAGCTCAAACTTCCGTGTGCCCGAAATTTGGTAGATCTTGTGAGCATTAGGGGAGAGACTGCACGATCCTCTCTACTTCTGCATCTTCGTGTTCTGAAGATGTCATGGTGAGTACATACGAACCTCCATACCTGGCTTTTAACTGCTTACATTCATCAATTACACAAGATCAAAAGCAAATATAGGCAAAAGAAAGTACTTACAATAAACGATAATAAAGGAAATTTACGATTCTGAAAAATTAATGACAAGTGCATTTCCATCTCTTTTTCTAGCTAAAATGTTAACAACGCATCTTTTAGAAAGAGAAACTCTAATGTGCACTAATGAGAAATATTGACGACTTTAACTCTTCCTTTTTGTGCAAAGAAAAAACAACGAATAACCAGAAAACAGAAAGTTAAAAACATTTTTACTTTTCTATTCTTCTCAAATTAAGAAAGTGGTATTTTTCTCTATTTTTCCTGCTCCAGTAAATTGGAGCTTTGAAGACAGGGGCAAGAGTCATTCCAAGAAATCCTTTTCCTTCTTATGTCCATGGAGTTCATCCTCAACGCATAAAGGTGTTATTTTTTTTAGGACGAAGTGATCTCATCCTAAACAGAAAAATGGTGTCATCCAGATTTAGAGAAAGGAATACATTAAAAAAGAACGTCTCCAACAGTGAAGTTACACACAATGGTAATGTAAATGTGACGATGCAGTAGTTGAGGTTACATAAAGAGTTCCAATTTTTGGAATTATTAAATTAACTTATAAACTCTAATGGTAAACATATTCCTGTTTTGAAATGGAAAATTCAGTAATGTAAGTAGACTAATGATAATTCAAAATGGTTAGCCCTGCTCCCTCCCCCCCACCACCAAGGCCCCTGCCGCCCTGCGCCCTGCCGCCCTGCGCCCTGCGCCCTGCCCCAAGTCCCGGCTGCCTCAACTTGAGCTACGCCCTGAGGGCAACTAATAGAGTGTAAAGCATAGGGAATGGAGAGATAAGATTAGAATGATCTGCCCTCTTCTGATATATGACCATCATCTACATTACAACAATGAAAACATAATACATGCATTGATTTACCTCCTTAGGATTTCCTATACATTGCAAGCTTCCATCTACAAAGATACCCAGGGGCCACCCCTGGCCCCGGCCCACCCCAAATTTAAAAATTGTCTATATTTTTGGTGTAAAAAGTTCCGCGAATTTTTTTCCCTAAAATATTCTTTGTACCGGCCTAGTCCGGTCCAGTGCCTTGGCTCCGCCCCTGAAGATACCTAACCGATCACATAAATGTTCTGCCTCTTCCATTGAGTGAGCTGATAAAAGATGATACATTGGTAAAATAAAAAGCAAACTTGTGGCACTCGAATTCGTTAAGCAGTGTGCAATGGGTATTAAATGTTCATTGTATCAAGGAACTTTATTACCAAGTCATTATGCGCACAATAGTTTGGTTGTGGGTATTAAATCGTGTCTAATTCACCCTAAAAGGATCCTTGAGATATGAGATTTATCATGTATATTAGAGAAAAAAAACTACTACCTCCGTCCTGCTATGATTGTCCCATTTTACCTTATCGGTCCGTCCCACTAAGATTGTCCCATACCAAATTTGGTATAGTTTGTGTGGCTCTAAATCATTCTTACTTTATTCTTACTTTATCAATTCAATATCAACCACATAAACCACTTTTTATTAATTTGCGTGCCACTCCCTTTTGTCCCATTGTTAGCGGGACGGAGGGAGTAGTAAATATCACTAAAAATGCCCCACAGTCCGAATTGGGACGGATAAATAGATGAAACGGGCTACCCCAGACAGTGGAGTGTTAAAAATAACAAGCTAGACTCTCACACCATTTTAAATCACGTCTAACTCACCCAAGGACCTCCAATAAGTGAGGTTTACTTCACTCCAAAAGCATCATCAACATAGGAGGTTTACCTACACAAATCCAGTGAGCATCCAATGCAGGACACTTACCAATGCAAAATGAATGTGAAGAATGGTGGATATGGAGAGTAACATTACTAGTTAGAATTATTGCTCTGTCTTGCTTTGCACGCTTGACCACATTCCACAAATTGTTTCTTGAAGCTGGATCCAGTTCAGTACTACGCTCATCCATACATACAACCTTGCAAATTGTATCAGAATACTAGTCAGGAAGAAGGCACAAATTTATATATGTGACCAAGTGATCTTCTCACATGAATACAAAGACTTACTTTGGGATCTCCAATCAATGAAATGGCAACGCTAAGCCTCCTCTTCATTCCTCCACTATACTTTCCAGCTTGCTTGTCAGCGACTCCTCCATGATATAAATTAACACTCTTAAGAGACTCTTCAACTGCCTGCAGAACCCACATAATTCAACTCATCATCATCATCATCATTACCCCAGGTGCCGCAAAGGCTCCCACCTACTGTGGGGCAAGGGAGTCGGATGTACGCAGTCTTAGCCCCTGTACTAAAGCACGGAGAGATTGTTTCCGGATGACCCATAATGAAAATCGCGTTGAAAATTGCATGGACTCGCAGACAGTTTAGTGAGCCATTTTGATTTATTCCATCATATTCCCAAGCCAAAAAATAGTGAGTTTTTGGCTCCATTGCAAATGATGGAAACCCACATAATTCAACTATTCAAGTAAATACAATATGAAACAATGAGATGCTATTCAATGGAACTTCTGAAGCATTCAAATCTAGAAAGAGGCTATCCCACAAATCAAAAGGTAAATTAAAGTTTTAATAACCGAAGCGTTCAAACTAAAAACTAGAAGAGCATTTAAGAAAGCAAGATAAATAGACTATAATAAAACCAAAACATGGGAGGATGATATTTCATGCATCCCTCCATGAGAATACATGGAATTATGTGGAGAAACTGTTGATTCAATGTAACAAAGGAATGTGTAATTTTGCAACCAAAAAAAGTTGGATTTGAAGCATTTTGGTGAAAAGGATGCAGCATTGGTTGTGTGATGAAGAACAAAGAAGTTTCAAGAACAGAGTTACAAATGCACAAAGGTATGATGACATTGCACGTGATATGACAATGAAGAATCCCGGCAACTGCAATGAAGAATCCAATCAATGAAATGGCAAAGCTAAGCCACCTCTTCATTCCGGTGGGCGTAGCTCAACTGGTAGATAAGGGGTGCCACAAGGGGTAAATCTCGGGTTCGAATCCCGGAAACTGCGATGAGAGGTTACTATGCTAAAAATGCACAGGGCCTCTACAAGTACCAGGGCCAGAGCCTCAATCTCTATCTGTTCGCTTATGATTAACGTTTAATTTACATTCTTCCATCTAACTTTCCAATCGGTGTTGGGGGGCCCTCAGGGATGGGGTGTCACAACAACAACAACAACATCCAAGCCTTAATCCCAAAAGAATTTGGGGTCGGCTAACATGAATCGATATATGATATCGATGCCAAAAAGAGAAGACGGACAAGAAAAGGAAAAAAAAGTAAGATAAAATGAATAAAATAAAGATACATAAATATAAGATAACAATAACAGAAGAATATAACCAAGATAAAAGAAAAATAAATAAAAGAGCATAAAAAAGCTAGAAGATAAAAATAACATAAGAATATAAAAAGATAAGGAAGATAAACGATAAAAGAAACAAGAGAGGAAAGGTAGACAAGACATCAATTGTCCACATGGATGTGCGCCCTCCACTTTGCTCTCTCCAAAGCCATACTCTCATCCAATCCAAGAAGACGCATATCAGTTCTGATTAATCTGATCCAAGTCTGTTTGGGTCTTCCCCTCCCTCTCTTCTCTGACTCTTCTCCCCACCCCTCAAGTCGTCTAACAGGTGCATCAATCGATCTTCTATGCACATGCCCAAACCATCACAAACGAGACTCCTGCATCTTATCTTCTATAGGTGCTACTCCCACCTTTTGTCTGATTACCTCATTCCTCGGGCGGTCTTTTCTGGTATATCCACACATCCAACGCAACATACGCATCTCTGTCACACTCATCTTTTGAATGTGGCTTTGCTTCACCGCCCAACACTCTACGCCATACATTAATGCCGGCCTAATTGATGTACGATAAAATTTACCTTTCAGTTTAGTCGGCATACCTCGATCGCATAGAAATCCTGAAGCACTTTTCCATTTCATCCACCCAGCTCTGATTCTATGACATACATCTCCATTTAATTCACCATCCTTCTGAATTATGGATCCAAGTAACGGAACATATCAGGGATGGGGTGTCACAATGAAGAAAATATCAGATAGTTCGTACTTTGAAACAGCACTTGAGTTTCCTTGTTTTGTTGTAATCCAGATATCAGTGAACAGTTTTGAAACAATGTTCCGTATTTACTTATTTTCTTTGCTTTAACTTTCATGGCAGCATGTTGTGAACTATTTTTACTCCATATTAGTTACATGTTTGGAATTCAAAATTTGGAGGTATGTGATTGCACTTCACGTTTGAATTTTTGATTACTACTCCCTCCATCCTGAACTGATGGTCCCAAACTACTTGGGCACGGAGAATAAGAAAGACACTGAGTTTCCAATCTTGCCCTTCCTTAATCTATCGGGTTATTCCCACAATTATCTCTTCATTTTCGCTGGAAAGCAGACCACTGCTTCCCCAATTCGTTGTTTTCTTGTTTTTTCTGCCATAAACCAATTGAAATCAATAATTGTGCTCAATCGGCTGTTACAAATCGGAGAATTTGGAAATCACTGTTGAACTGCACTTGGTACTGGGTAATTCAAATCAGAGAATTTCTTGTTTGAAATGGAAGTGATTCTTTTACAGGTGCGTCTCTTGAGTAGCCTAAGGAGTTCACATATGAGTTAACAAAGGAGAAAATGGCATCAAATGGAGGAACATCTCTGTGCAGCAAACCTCTGGTTTTTTAAGGCATCTTAAGATAAAGAAGAAGAACTATTTCAAGAGCCACTAAGACCCATTTTTTATGACATGCGCACTGAGAGGGTGACTTGAAGAAGATGGAGAGGTGGAAGATACAGAGTACAAATTGAGATGGAAGGAGGGAATACATAGACGAAAATGGGAGGAGACAGGAGAAGATTAGAAGAGAAAGATGGGGAGGGTGAATAATGGTAACGTAATGAAGAAGAACGAGAGGGAGCAAGGGTAGTTGACGTAAGGGTGTATTGGACATTACATTATTAAATGTTTGCCATATAAGAAAATGCGACTATCATTTTGGGACATTATTATTATCTACTATATTTATATAATTAATGAATCGGATCTTAACTGGAGTTATCATCGCCACTTTTTCCCATTTAAATAAGGCATACTATAGGTCATAGCTTCTGAACTTGCGCCTTTTTTAGTAAATGCTTAAAGAAGAGTTGGCTGAGTTGTTTAAATGCTATCTGCAATTTTATAAAATTCTCACGTTTGAAGTAAACATCAGCCCTCGATGAATAAGACTACAGACGTTGCTGTTCTAATATCCCATGTCCAGCTTATTTCTTAGTTAGTTGTGTTAGTCACACCAAAGTAAATTGACCATAATTTTTGCAAAAATAAAAGTGCTGCAACGTAATTTCAAATTTTACGACTTATCTATGTTATCTGAAAAGAGAAACAACAACATTCGACCCTTACTCCCATAAGAGTTTGGGGTCGGCTAACATGAACCGACATATGAAATCGGAGCTAAAAAGATAAAAAAGGATGAAATTTTTTAGAGAAGATAAAAAAGGATAAAAAGATTAAAAAGGGATGAGATAAAGATGAGAGGATAGGAAAAAGGATAAAAAAGATAAAAGATAAAGAACATAAGAAAGATAAAAAAGAAAAAAAGGAAAAAAAGATGAATTGAGATCAATCCTCCACATGAATACTTTGTCTCCTGTTCACTCTCTCTAAAGTCATACTCCCATCTAACCAAAGAAATAGCATCACTCTTGACTCCTATAATCCACGTCTGTTTGGGTATTCCTCTCCCTCTCCTTCTCGTCTCTTCTCTCCACCTCTCAACTCGTCTAAATCACTCGGTCTTCTACGCACATGGCCAAACCATGATAAGTAACCGCAGAATTCCGGTGGATAATCTTAGTATATTAATGAAGGTTTAATGATGGAATACAGAAAAGAACGAAAGAAAAGGTTGAGACTCTTCGAGTGGTCTCACACTCCCAAATTCCCAGTCCCGATCCCAAAATTATGTCTTCCCCTCTCCTCACCACTCACACTTATTTATTTTATTTCTATTGGGCCAGCCCACTTCAATTTAGTTATAGGGCCTAAAACCCTATTATTGAACAAAATTAAAATTACTTAATAAGACTCTAATTATTGGTAATGTCCGGGTCCCTAACATCACTCCCCCCTTGAACTTCCACCTTGTCCTCAAGGTGGATGATAAGAGACTGATTTGGCATTTGGTTTCAGCAGGTTTTCAGCTTCATCCCGTTCATATAGCTGATCTTTTGTTTCCTTCTCTTCTTCTGGCTCTTCTATCAAGATAAATTGATAATGTTTCATTCCACAAGCATGTTCTTTGTTCCATTTGTTTCCACATTTGAAGCATAAGCTCTTTTTACTTCTTTCTTCTAACTCTAGTTGTGTCAACCTTTGGCCTCCCTCCCATGACTTATTCGGTTTTCGTGATTCGTCTGTTCTCTGAATGTGTTCTCTCCGGAGTCAAAGAAGGTGGTCTTCCCTTTGTTGCTTCTATTGAAGGAAAGAAATGATTTGCATTTAAAACATAATATTCTATTTAGCCGTTACATATCTTTGTCATTTAATATAGTATTATTATTTACCTTATAGGCTTATATACATGATTAGGATGTGTATAAATAGCAGCCTTGTAAACCAGTTTCATATGTAGAAATATATTCAAGACATTTGATCTCTCCACTCTATTATGGTATCAAAGCCTCACGAGCTTTAACCGGCCATCTCCCTTATATATCTACATAAGGGGACCTCAGAAATCCCCCAGACGGGCAGCCTGCCATTTCTTCTACAACTCCCTCTACCACAGTCATCAACCCCCTCACTCCAGATGGTTTAATCATTCTCAACCCCAGCCACTTCCCGGAAAAACTTGAAGGGACGAATTACCTCATATGGCGTGACCAAGTGCTTGACCTCTTGGTTGGCTCTCATCTCGACCGGTACATCAGTGATGGTGCTGTTCCGCCACCTACCAGTGACGCTGCAGGCCATCTTCGGTGGAATCGACAAGACCGTCTCCTCCGACATGCTCTTGTCTCCTCCTTGAGATCGGCATGCAAATGATTGGTCGGATCCGCACGTACCTCTGCTGTGGTGTGGAAAACCCTTGAGCAACTTTACGGGACCCGTTCAGTAGCTCAAATCTGAAATATGAAGGATGTCTTCCGCCACACTCGACAGAGATCTAAGGCAGTGGGCGAGTATCTCCATCATCTCCGTACCCTCGCCGACGAATTAGCTAAGGTTGGCCGCCCTGTTGATGATGACGACTTCGTCATTCAAGCCATGGAGGGACTCCGACCTGAGTTTGATTCCTTCACAAACTCTATTCGAACCTGTGGAGATAACAGCTTCGGCAACATCTATACTTTGCACACTCGTTTCGAAGCAACTCTGCGATGGAAGGAAGCTCTCGACTCTTCTGTGACTGTGGTCACCGCTAATACTACTGCCAGAGTCGCAGAAGACCAGCCTCGTCAAATACTTGCTGGGGAGTCGGTCGCACTTGCGGCCCGCAGAGGAGATCCAGCCCCGTCACTTTTGGGCCCAGGACCACCTGCCCCATTTCAACAGCAGCCCAATCGCACTAAGTATCTGGACCGTAATTCTAATCGAAACCAGTCCAGAAACCAGCGACCCAATACTCATTATAGTCCCAACCGACGTGGAAATAATAATTTTGGGGGTCCTCCTAGCAACCCGGCAGCCCGAAACACCCCGGGGAACAGTAATTTCGGGGCAAATGTTACATGTCAAATTTGTGGGAAACCGAACCATTCTGCTCTCAACTGTTGGCATCGGTTTGAACAACAAGCTTACCTTCCTCAAGTCAATACAGTTGTCACTCGACACAATGGCTGGTTACTTGATTCTGGAGCAACCAATCATGTCACCAACACCCTGAATAATCTTACTTTGGCATCCGATTATACTGTCACAGATTCTCTCGTTATTGGTAACGGGAAAGGTCCTTCGATAGCACAAGCTGGGCATATGACCCTTCACTCTCTTTCTCTACCTAATACCCTTTTTGTCCCTTCTATTCATACTAATTTAATTTATGTCGCCAAATTATGTCGCGATAATGATGTACTAATTGAATTTCATTCTTCCTTTTGTCTTATTAAGGACCGGCGAACGGGAGCAATTTTGTTACGGGGTATGAATAAAGGAGACGTCTACAGCTTGCTAGATGCACCCCCTCCACCATCTCCATCTGTTCACATCACACAAAAATATTCCCTTAATAATTGGCATTGTCGTTTAGGACATCCTGCCCTCCCTATCACTAAAATTTTTTTGTCTTCCTTAGATATTTCCTTTTCCGATGTTACTACAAATAATTCTCTATGTGTCTCGTGTGCTAGTAATAAAAGCCATAAGCTGCCATTAGCAAAATCATCTCTTTCGAGCTTTGGACCTCTCGATTTAATATATACAGATGTTTGGGGTCCCACTCGTGTTACTTCTTTAATGGCTTTCGTTACTATGTTATCTTTGTTGATCATTATACCAAATATATCTGGTTTTATCCTATAACTCATAAAAGTGAGGTCACTCCGCTTTTTCAACAGCTTAAAAAGATTGTTGAAAACTTTTTCCAACGCCCAATTAAAACAGTTTATTCTGATAGGGGAGGCAAATACATAACCTTAGGGAAATTCCTAAACACATGTGGTATTTCTCATTTATTTACGCCCCCTACACTCCAGAACACAATGGTTTTGCTGAATGTCAGCATCATCACATTGTGAAAACTGGTATCACCCTACTTCACCATGCGCCCATGCCTCTTAAATATTGGTCCTATGCCTTTCTTACAGCAGTTTATCTTATTAATAGACAACCCGCCCTGTCTCTTAACTTCTGCACTCCTTATGAAAAACTCTTTCAACAACCTCCTAATTATACTAAACTTGCTGTTTTTGGGTGCTAATGTTTCCCTTGGTTACGTCCTTGTACCACTCATAAATTAGAACCACGCTCTAAACCATGTGTTTTTCTGGGGTATTGTGACCAACAAAGTGCCTATCGTTGTCTTGATCTGAACACCAACCGTATCTTTGTCAGCAGGCATGTTGTGTTTGACGAATCAGTCTTCCCTTTTTCTACATCCTCACCACCCGTCTCAAATATCACTTCTGAAGTCGATCACTGGCTTCAACCTTATATGTCTTATCTTCCCATTTCAGGTACTCTGGTCGCGGGGGCGTCTCCTCTTACTCATACCTCGGCTCAACGATTGGCTCTTGACATGTCACCCATTACCTCCACCCACACTGATATACCGCCTTCTCCCCTCCCTAAACCAACACCACCACAAATTATTACTTACCAAGGTGTCAGAATAATCACCCAGTTCAAGGGTCTAACCATTTTCCCTCCCGGGTCCTTCCAGCCTTTTTTGTCTTCTTTATTTTTTCTCCTTTCCACACCTTGTTCTTCTGCTCCAACAACAAAGCCTTGTCCATCAGTTCAGTTCAGTTAACCCACTGGTCTGGTGCAACTTCAGCTTTGTGCTAACTTCTTCTTTAAGGCCATTGAGAAACACTCCCTTTAACATCCCTTGCTCAGCAAGTTTGAGAGGAGCTACAACCATTTCAAAGTGATCCCGGTACTCCGTTACTGAATCAGTTTGCCTAATACTGTGCATAGGACCAAACGGGTTCTGTACTAAGGCAGGTTGGAAACGCCGGATCAAAGGCTCTTTGAAGTTAACCCAAGAATGGTCATCTGTCTGTTCGTCCCACCATTGGTACCAGTTCAGAGCCCTTTCGGTCATGGCTATCAGGACAATTTCCAATTTGTCACCCTCCGATACATGATTTAATTTAAAATAACGTTCAACCCTGATAAGCCATTCATGAGCATCGTTTTCGCTAAACAGTGGTATATCCACCTTTCTTCCGGTATGAACCCGGTCGTTAATTCTCGTATGCTCAGGAGTACAAGAAACGAATTGAGAATCATGAGGGTTACCTCCGGAATTGGACGAACTCACGCTGGCAGAAGTCTGGCGTCGACAATTGGTGGTCGATCGTCCTCTTCTTCTCTCGTGACTGCCCTTGACTTCGAGACTTTGCATCTTCTCCAGCAACAACTGTACTTTTTCGTCCATCAAAGCTCTCATCTCTGTTCGGATCTCTTCCCTGGAAAGCTCCAATGATCGCTCCAAACTTTCAAGCCTCTGTTCCATGTTTGACCGAGTGAATATCATACACATGTGCACTGATCGATGCTTTGATACCAAATGATAAGTAACCGCAGAATTCCAGTGGATAATCTTAGTATATTAATGAAGGTTTAATGATGAAACACAAAAAAGAACGAAAGAAAAGGTTGAGACTCTTCGAGTGGTCTCACACTCCCAAATTCCCATTCCCGATCCCAAAATTATGCCTTCCCCTCTCCTCACCACTCACACTTATTTATTCTATTTCTATTGGGCCAGCCCATTTCAATTTAGTTATAGGGCCTAAAACCCTATTATTGAACAAAATTAAAATTACTTAATAAGACTCTAATTATTGGTAGTGTCCGGGTCCCTAACAAACCACCACAATATCAAAGGAGCATTAACTAAAAAGCACTAAGAAGACGACTTCAAGGTAAGGGATTCACTTACCGTCTTAAAGTCTGCTCCTTTCAGATTTTTCAGCCATCCAGAGAACATTAAGTGCTCCTTCCTGTTAACGTTTCCCAAAGCAGACTGAAAACAGATGGCAAAAATGACAATGGCTTTGGTCAACATGTGTATACACATGTTTCATTCATAATGATCCCTGTTGCAACAGGGGTTCATGGGAAATTTCAGTCCTTGTTTGGATTAGTTTCCATTTTCTTGGAATTCACTTACTTCGTGAGCTGGAATTTTTAAATTCATGAAATCAGGGGGGGGGGGGGGCATCCATTCCTCCAAAACACCATGGGTTCTGAGTGATTTCTTGGAATTGGATAACTCAAGCCATTTCAATTGCGGTTTATCTCATTCCCAGTATTCGAATTATCATTAGTTCAGGTCTGACCACCAAATCAATCCAAACAAGGCAAATTGACTACTTTAATTGAGAAAACAATGATGCTTTACTCGTGCTGAGGACACACTCCCATGCTGGTATATATTTTGTCCATATCAGTTTGTATATTCATGCCCTGAACATATGCAGTACCAGCGCTCCGCTTTATGAGACCAATCATCTGTTAGCATACACATGTCACAGAAACTCAGCTTGCTTAGAATTGGCATTACAAAATAAAAAACTAGTCAGAAGCACCCAAGAAAACTGATCACTGGAAGACAATAGACAACAACTCTAAAAGTATCATGAAGAAACACAAGCGAACAATAAACTAAGGATCAACTCCTCTTAATTACAAGATTATTTTAACTGCAATAACATTAGACTGACCATATTTATAAAAGAAGTTTTCCCAGCACCGTTGGGCCCAAGCACACCAAAGCATTCTCCCTGAGGCAAAGCAAGTGACAACCCTTTCACTGCAAATTTTTCAGGGTTTCCCTCTCTTCCTGGATAAGCTTTTTTTATGTTGTCACATATTATATTATTATAGCTTGACTTGTACTTGATTCAAGAAGCAAATGTTCAACTTTTTCCCTCTGTCAAAAGGATATCACCTATAGTTGATTAGTTGTGGAGTAAAGTAGGTCTGAGCACATGCAGGACTTGGCAAATAACAGGCATATGGTAAACCCACAATCTGATCTATGAACGGTGAATCGAGAGAACCCCATTAGACAATCCAATCTAATCCAATCCAATCCAATTCCCATATTCGGAATGGATCGTAATATTCATGGTTTCAACCCCAGCACATCAAAATTAAAATAAACATCTAAAGTGGAAGTACATTTTCCAGTTATGAAATTTTTGGAATTCATAATTTCCTATTTTCTTAAGCCCAAACAAAATATTAGAAATATCTGCCTGGTCACAAATAATAAAAGATATTAGATGTTACACTAAATTAAATTAGTATCCACAACTAATAATAAAAAAATATAATTTCATAACATGACTTGCAATAAATAATTCCCCCCAAATAAACTTCGCCATTTTATTTTTGGAAAACAATCAAATAGACCCTTCTGCTATTTCAAAAATGTCACCTAAACCCTTGCAGGCTCTAAAAAAGGATTATAGAAACATGCTTACTCTAAAAAACAATCAATTTAGTCATTTAACTGGAATATGACCTTCTCTAGCAAGTCATCCATTGATATAAGGTATTTTTCCCTTTTATTTCAATTTTTGAATGCACAATTTTTAAAAGTATTTTTTATTTTTGATAATCAAACATTTTTGTAAGTTTTTTTATATTCCATCATATTTATTGTTGAATATGATAGTTTTTATGAATTTTTTACAATAACATGCATGTAAAAAATACTGGCTCACCAGCCTCACCCCTCATTTGAACTGCTATCATATTTTATATGATAAGATACTGGTAGCAGGTAGGTTTGCTAAGAGCCTGTACTTAAATTTTGTATCACATTTTACCATTGATGGATCGTCAGACCAGGGTAGCCGGAATCCACCGAGAATGAAAGTAAAGGGGAGAGTGAACTGGACGGAAAAGTCAGGTATCCGATTAACAAAATCCTAGTGTATCAGTCTCAAGAGTGCAATAAGATTAAGCATCCCTATCCACAAGTTGAAAGGTGATATTTATACTAAGGAGAAAAGGAAATACTTGGTGCCCAAGTAAAAAGATTCTAGTCTAATAGGAGAGGAGCACGTGTAAAGCTACTCTAACAAACTATAAGCCTGAATGAACCGGGAGCAGCCACGTGGAAAGTTGATTGGAGAGAGAACTTCTGATAGTTGGCTGATTGATTTATTCTTCCAACAGAATTCCTGCCAGAGATCGTGTGCAGACAATCCGGCGTATTCCACCAGTGCGGAGAGTGACGTGGCGATGTCTCCTCACGACGTAAGCCCTTGCGGATTTCGCCTAAGTATAGGGTGCTTTTCTCCCGACCTCGAGGGTTACTGAGGTCGGTATCTGGGGGCTCGGGCCCATGTTGAGAGGACTCGTTTTGTTGTCTCCCGTTCTCACTCTGGAGGTGACTTGACTGCCTGGTGCTTTGATTGGTGTTGACCTGGAGCAAGGCTTCTGAGGTCAGATTTGATGCCGACCTCGGATGTCCCGAGGTCGGGCTCATGGATCGCCGAGTTTGGTTGGCTCCTGAGCTCGATGTTTCCCGACCTCGAGGTCGGGGTCGGTGTCGGTGAACCCTGTTATCTGCTGAGTTTACTTGATTCCTGAGCCTGGTGTTCCCCGACCTCGGCGGTCGGGGTCAGGGTCGGATCCAGACGTGGACTTAGTACTTTCTTGCCCCCGATGAACCTGCAAGGCTTTCTACCGGCGATCGCGGTACCCCTGGGGTGTACGGGAATATACTCCATCAACCATAAAACCTTTTGAACTTTTTAATGAAATCTGCACCGAGCAGTATGCCGGTACATGTGCAAACGAGAGCCGAGCTCAAACCTGGGTAGGCTCGAATTAGAGTTTGAAGTAATCGTAACAGCCAGAGCTCAAGCTTGAACGAACATCCTAATTTTTTACAAGGCTAGAGTTCAATTGGCTTGAATTGAGCTTGGATATGATATTCAAACTCAAGAGTAATTTTACAAAGATAAATTTTTAATATTATAATTCTATATTTATATATCCATACTGTAATTTATACATAAGTAACTTATTAATAATGGTCCACGAGTCCATGAGCTGACCAGCATGTCACGGCAAGTATAATTAAGTATGAGCTCCGTTCTATTTCTTAACTCTCATAAAGGGTCTCTTTACTCTCTTATGATCCCACCAACAACAGCTCTCCATTCTTCTAACTACGCTCAACATTAAGCTTCCTCCAGTTCTCATGGATCGTAACCACTTGAAGACAACACAATTTTTCATCTTACTTTTCCGTGAGTATTTGAGAGCACAAGAAGCTTAACATCACCATCAAAAGCTTCTATGAGACCTTGTTTCGGCAGATCCAACAACAACAACAACATCCAAGCCTTGGTCCCAAAAGAGTTTGGGGTCAGCTAAATGAATCGACATATGAAATTGGAGTTTAGCAATTCATATTTCGACACGTCATATTGGTGGTTGTCATGCACCTACCACAATGTCTTCCTCCTTTATCGTGAATTGGGACGAGTATGATACCAAAAAATGATCTCATGACGGAGTTTTGTTTCAAAAGAACCAAATAAACAAAAACCAATTAGAGGAATGCTGAATATTAAAGGGCTTATCGCCTTATCCCCTTGCATTGAACCTACCAACTCATGAAGAATTAACCACTCCTTCCATTTTCTGGTCCTAATTCCATACTTAGCCCCATTGAAGCTCCAGATAGCCCTGGTTATATCACTGGAATGTCTACAACACCACCATTAAGGCTAAGAGAGCACTAAATTTGGAAATTGTGACAGAATCCACCGGAATCCAGGAGTCACAGAGCTTACTGTTGAAAATCGAGATCTTAGAAGGAAGGAATTTATTCCACAAGGCTTTGGAAGATGTTTGAATCTTCTTATTAGAAATGAGAAGCTTAAAGCATGCAGTACTAATATACCAGATTATTACTCCTGGTTTTTCCATTGACCTGTTCCCCCAACTCCCGGGCGAGTAGGACATTATCAGAAATATTCTTACCTTTGACGATTCCATATTGATTATCATGATATGAATTTTGGGAGAAATTTGACTAAGCTGGCATTCGACACCTTAGACAGGTCTCTATTCATGACATTACAAAGGCTATTTGGTCTGAAGTCTTTCCCATTAGCTTGCTGGCCAACTTTACGAATCAAGACCAAGGTGATGGCAGTGATGCTCTAACGAATATCTCTTCCAAAAAAATCAGCTATTGCCTGCACAAGTTCATCTTTTATGATGTCCCACTATTTTTGGTAGAAAGCTGCTCCAAAATTAAATCAGTTTAACTTCTTTCATACTATAAGTTTTGTTAGGAATAATAATATCTTCATACTGATAAGGAAAGGTATGCCCTCCATGAGCCTGGTTGCACACACTTCACTAACTTTCGTGAATAGAGATATCTAATTGCAGAATCAGAAATATAATCAGGATCAGAATAAGATTCTCCCGGCTCATCAGTGACACCATCAAATTTTGGACTTTTGCTTGTTAAGCCATGGACAGAAGTGTGTTTATATTTCCTTCAAGGCTTCAAGCGTCCATTAATACCACTTTATTGTTTCCGAAGTTTCTTCACAAGCAAACTGAAGATTCAATTGTTCATAAGCTTAGTGCAATTCATCTCTAACCTCAGCAGTTTATTTTGTAACATGCACCAACTCCTTACCCTATCTACAGCCATCTTGAGATTATCAAGGATGTTTCCAAATTTGTTTACTATCTGGAACTCCAATGATGAAATCACGGGTTAATCTAAGAGAGAAAAGGCTCTTTCAGGTTGCCTCAAAGCCAGGGGTGTGATGACAGTATTTGCCGAATGACAAATTTTTGTTAAGAAGTTTTATAAAATATCAGATCGATTGGTACATTTAGTACTACCTCCGTCCCATAATGTCAATTGCATGTGTGTTTGGCACGAGTTTTAAGAAAATAAAAGATAAAGTGGTTGTTTTAAAATTCTAACCTCAAAAAAGTAAGAAAAAGTAGGATGGGACCAGAAAAAGTAAAAGATGAAATGATAGATAAAAGGATAATGAGAAAGTAAAAAGTTAGTGGAATTCAATTTAAGTAAGTGTTCATATTTTTTGGACAACCCAAAAAGGAAAGTGAATCTTACAAAATGGGATGGATGAAGTACTATTTTTAGAAAAAGAAAAATCAAACAAGACTCTATTTATGTGATGGTGAAATATAAAAAACAGAAAATACTGTGCAAAATTATGAATTATGTGAATTAAATATAGTTAGTCACTAGAGTGCCAATGGATGTCATGTGCAAGCTCACAGTTTTTTTAAAGATACTTAAATTTCTGCATCTGGGTTAGACAGGGAAAGGAGTTCAGAGAGAGAGAGAATATTTTGTATATGGAGAAAGAGAATGCAGGAGACAAAACCTTAGCTCTAGGGGGGAGCACTGTCGTGTTGGATTAATTATTTTAGAATGATGAGAATTGCAATGGAATTATTGCAGTAAAAAGTATACGATCAGAGAGAAAATTGGAACTACTGCAGTATTAAATACCATTTACATCATCAATTCCTAAATGATTCAAAATAAGATACCACCATATGGAGAATATGAAATTTACTACTTCAAAAAATACAATTCATGTTTACCAGCATGATGTATTAGATAAAATCAAGCATATTACCTCCTGGACGAAATCATGTTTCTCCATTTCAATGGAAACATTAGACCCCTGTCTCTGTAAGTTTGATCTTCGGTACGATGGCAGGTGCTTCTTTTGGAATGATTGAAGAAAAAGGGGAGGAGTTTTCCCTGATGATGTTATTTGATCTGTGTAATATGCAAAGAGGAGAACTAGTAACCATTCCACAAACATGACAATTATGATCTCTCTCATCCCGTTTTTGCCATCATTCAAATTCTTCCATTTCATTCCGGTGGTCCCCATATAACTGCCAGTGAAAGAATATTGTGAAAACTCATATAATCCAGGATAAAGCGAGAATCCAGGATACAACTCCATAGCAATAATCCAGCCTCCTGCAACGGAATCATTTAAAGTGTAAGAAGAGTATATTATTATTGTCATGCCCATTACATAATTGATATTGCAAAACCAACATGTAAATATGGAACATGACTGATCATTATCAACCTCTATATATCTAAAAATTTGACTTAGGATGTTTTTACTTGGACTGTAATTCATCCCAGACCAGATCAGACCAGACTTGGATAGTTATAAAAATACAAAGAAACCAGACCAGACCAGCAAATTACAGTCCAAGTAAAAACATCCTTAATATAATTTGATAGCTTAATGATGAAGTATCTTGCTTGTGTTTTCTGCTAGTATGCAATATGCATAAACATATTGTGTGCAAGACTGAGATAGAGTTAGAGATGAGAGATAAAGCACTCCTTTGAGTTTCCTCCTCACCTGATCAAAGTTCCGAAAATATTGACAAGTGTTCCTCCACGCCTTGTGAAGCTAACTGCATTGTAGCGCATAATCTTCTGTATCCATTTGATAACTTAAGACGTTAAGCATTGAATATATTTCCTCCATCCCCGTTTGCATCGATTTTCCTGCTGAGAACATATACACTTTCTTCTTCACCTCGACCCAGCTTTGTCCAGGAATTTTCATTAAGCCCCTTGTTTTTACTGAAAGTCTGACATTTGCCGAGTCGCCCCATCTACTGCAGCCAGCATATAAGTTGCAAAGCAACATTAAGCTCCCTGTCATCACAGAATCATGATCCAGAAGTTGAGCAGCGGCCTTTTCTGCAACATGCACATTTTTATGCATTCTACCAGAGTTCAATAGTGCACCCCAAACACAAGCATTGGGTTCCAATGGCATGTTTTGCACCAAGTCATGAGCCTCCTGAAGCAATCCAGCACGGCCCAAAAGATCCACCACACAAGCATAATGCTCCACCTCTGGTTCAATCCCAAATTTTTTTCGCATTTCATTGAAAATTTTGCGACCCTCACTAACAAGCCCTGCATGACCACATGCAGAGAGAACAGCTACCATAGAAACCTTGTCCGGTACAAATCCAGCTTTAATCATCTTATCAAAGGTTTCCAGAGCTTTATCACAATGACCGTGCATTCCATATCCAGATACCAACATGTTCCAAGAGCATAAATCTGTATGTTCCATTCTCTCAAACACCGTGTTCCCATCCTTTAAACTACCACATTTCATATACATGTTAATCAGCCCATTTCCTACCATTACATTTACATATTTTAGAACCTTAAAAATAAAGCCATGGATTTCTCTACCTAGACACAGCGCAGATGTGTCAGCACAAACTGACAAAACACTTGAAATGGTAATGGAATTGGCCAGCACCCTGGCAAATTGCATTCTCCTAAAGAGCTCCAAGGCCTCCTCGTGCCTCTCCTTTGCCGAAAATGCCCCAATAACTACACTCCAACTTACTACATTAGGTCTGACCATTGAATGCTCCCCTAGCTTCTCTAACTGAGAAAGTGCGGAAAATGCCTCATCACATAAACCAGATTCTGCATAGGAAGATATTAAAGAATTCCAGCTAACTATACTCTTAGAAAGTAGTCCTGAAAATAGAAGCTCAGCTGCATTGACATCACCATGTTTCCCATAAAAACTGATTAGAGAATTTATTACGATCGTATGGTTCTCAAAACCACCTTTTATGGCATGTTCTTGCATCAGCTTCCCCTTGTCAATTGCATTCATGGTAGCACAGCCTGATATAACAACACAAAGTGCCTCAGCTGTGATCTTAACTCCTCCCATTCTCATCTGAGTATACAGCCTACATGCATCTTCATGGTGCCCGCACTTAGCAAAACCTGACAGCATTGAAGTCCAAGTTACAGGATTCGGCTTCCAACCATCAGATTGCATCCGCAAAAACATCTGAAGTGCACCATCAGAGTCTAAATTACGAGAAAACCCTGAAATGATAATATTCCATGAAAGGTGAGTTCTTTCTGGCATTCTATCAAACAATGCTTGTGCGTAATCCATTCTCCCCATCTTTCCATACATGTTTAGCAGTTCATTTGCAGTATGAAGGTGATTCTGAAAACCCATTTGTATTGTGTGGCAATGGACGACCTTGAAGAGACTATGATCATCGGATAATGCACAAGCCCTTACAACCAATGGAAACCCAAAGGAGTCTGGACAAACTCCAAAACCACGCATTTTAGTATATATATTTACAGCTTCTATATAATCCCCACTAGTATGGTTCGCCCTCAATATCGAGTTCCAAAAGAGCATGTTAGAAAAGCACTCAACCGGGGAGGTTTCATATATTTCTCGGGCTTTGTGTATAAGACCAAAATCTGAATAAGCGGAAATGAGCCTAGAGGCCAAGAAGGCTGAGCTGGAAGAGCCCGTAACTATGATTGTGGAGTGGACTTGTTTAATGTGCTCAACACATACAGTGAATTGCAGCAGAAGGTTGCTAAAGAAGCTAATGAGTTCGCTTTGAGAGCCTGAGTAAAGGGGCTGTCCTACGAACCTGGTGTTGAATGAAAGACTGGCGGAGGCTATTTGTCGCGGGTGGCGGAGACACAACATTTAGGGGGATGTCCCCGGTGTGGATTTTAATGGATTTTAAAAGATTTTAGAACTCCATCACAATCTGGGTGTCCTCAACTTGGAGTTCAATGGATTCCATTAAAATATGGGTGTCCTCAATATTTCCATGGATTTCGGTTATTATTTCTTGATTTTAAAGGATTCTTGTAAATTTGTAAGATTAAAACATTCCATCCAAAATATCTCACATTCCCCTTGGATTTCTAAATCCATCACATATATCAATCCATAAGCACGTCAAGAACAAACCGACCACTGCTGCGATCACTTACCGGAGGAGGAGGAACTGTCAGAAGAGCTGCCGGACTGTGCCACCTGTTTCCCACACCGCCACTGGGACTGCCCTGTTGAGTGTCGTCAAGAGCAGAAGCACCATCGGCAGAAAGCTTTCATTAGCCGGCCAAGGGAGTTCGTCCAAAACGAAAAAGGTGCTGCACCTTTCAGAAATCAGCAAAACATCTTCAATTTTATCCCCGTCCCATTGAGATCCAAATAGAGCCTCATACTCCCGCATCCAAAATAAACACGGTTTTTCATTTTTTTGCACCGTGTAGGTTTATTTGCCAAATAAGGCAAATAAGGAAATATAAAGGATCTTTCTGGTACTGCTATAAATGGAAAGTGTAAAGATCTTTCAGAACCGGAGGGAGTAATTCATAGGGATGGGCAAAATAACCGAACCGGCATGGTACCGAACCGGATCGGTATGGTACCGGACCGGAAAACGGGATTTCAAACGGTTCTAAAAAAAATTGTCCCGAACCGGATCGGCCCGATTCCAAACCATGCCATGACCGGTCCTCATAAAATGAGAACCGGTACCGGACCGAACCGAACCGAATTATAATTTTATTAATTTATATAATTTTACAATTATATATACATGTATACCATATAACCACTAATTACTTTGATTACTCATTTGCACTTTACTAATTGCTAGTTAACCAGATCGGTAAAAATGAATAGTATTATATGAAATTCACTAACTATGTTATTGTTAGTTATTTATGTTTTGTAGTTTGTACTATTATAGTTTATAAGAAATTCATTAACTATATAATACTACCTCTATCCCAAAAAACTTTTCCATTTTTTATTATATGAAAATGTTCTTTGTTAAAAATACTTTCATAAAACTATAAAATTTATAACTTCCATAATACTCTATACTAATCAAAATCATGGTTCAAATTTTTTGAAATGACAAAGTTTTTTGGGACGGAAGTAGTATGAAAATTGATAATTGTGTGTATTTTTGGATGATGACTAAGTTTTAATTTATCGAAAAGTGACATTGTTTGGCATGGTACCGGACCATTTGAAAATGAAACCGAACCGAACGAATTTAGGTCTAAGACCGAACCGAACCGAACCATTTCAATAGTAACGGTCTGGCTACGGGTTCGGTAAAATATTGGACCAGACCGGACCGCACTCACCCCTAATAATTCATAGAGGGAACATCAATGACAATAAATAAAAATCAAGGACAATCATTGTCGCGTGTTGAATTGTTAGTGATTTATAGAGGGAACATCAATGGCAATAAATAAAAATCAAGGACAATTCATAGAGGGAACTTCAACCATGGAATGATCTATGTGATTCTCTCGAGTCACTAATCATAATGGTTTGAAAACAATTTTCAGCCATGGACAGCTCCAAAACACAACTCTATGTCGGAGGAACATCTAACGGGATATAGAATGTTGTTTACAATAAAATGTTTCATAAAGTCTTGATTTTATGGTATTTTTAGTGATTTGTGTCATGTGCACCAACCATTCCATGACATTTTCTATCCAATACAATTTGTATGTTCTATTTCTCATCATTGTTTAAATGGTCGGTCCTTTCGGTATTTCATCACTATTAATATTCAATTAGATTATTCATGTTTTATGTGTAGCTTATTACTTTATTAGTAATGTCATTTAAATTTTTGTAAGAAAACTCACAAACCGTGCATCGCACATGTGTTCTACTAGTACCCCTAATTTTTAAATTAGATAGCATATCACCAGCATTGATCAGCGTTCTTCGCTTATGCAATTTCCAAACAATGTTTACTACTGACCCATAACTTCTGCAAATTTTTCCCAGTTCGAATAAATTTGTTGGTGACGGCGAAACCTTTACCGAGAAGTGCGAAGAAGAAAAAGAAAACACCTAGTAAACGTAATCGAAGTATAAACGAAGTGAAGGAATGTACGTATCCATAGTAGACGGAAACAAAGAGCACAAAAATGGTGAAGAAAGAAACAACAAACGAAAAAAGAACCAAAGAACAAGGTAATGTCTATTTGTTTATTATTCTGAAACTATGAAGTGGTCGAAAAATGCAATTCACTTTAATATATCCAGGCTCAAATATCTGAGACAACCATATGGCAAAAAGATCTTCATTCTTTGGCACTATCGGCCGGAATGTATAGAAGGAAGCAAAAGACAATGCAGTGGGGGATGGGGGTCTAATCTATTACTACCCGAAGGTGCCAGTGAGTGCCACCCTCCTCAGTCTCCTCCTCGAAGTCATCATCGTCAACATCCGAGGGACGCTCTGGCTCATCTCTCGTGGCCTTGGCCTTGGCCCTGTCTTGATCCTGGGCCAACTTCTCAACGGTAGCCTTCAAGAAAAGGTCGCCAGTATGGTTGCCCGGTTTGAAGTTGTTGCTGACTTCCTTCAGCAGGATTGGCATCAGAGCATCAACGACATCGGCATACCCTTTCTTCAAGTCGTTCGTCCCGAGGTCAAGGCATAATTGCCTCTCAAGATGTGTCCTCTTCAGAAGCCTGGTCCCATGCCTCAGTCGCTACTTCTTCGGCACTTGTGAGAGCTCCCCTTCAAACAGGGCACCAACAATGTCGCGGGCATACCGCTGAGCGGCGACCTCAAACGTTGTCATCTTCTCATACCCAGAAGGATCGGCCTACACCACTTGGGTAGAATTAGGATTAACGCTAGGGCCGAGGGGGAAGACAAACAATATCTCAAATTACCCAAGAGGCCAAGACAATATATCATCGTCTTATTTTTTATGGTAAGGGGATTATTGTAGTTTTATTTAAATTTCATATCATAAATCATTCTTTATCAAACACTTTGACTTTTACCTTTTAATCAAAATCATTTCTTCTTACAAACATTATATATTTTTATTATAAATCATTTTTTCAAACATCTCTTAAGTAAATCACTTTTGAGAAGCGCACAAGCAAACACAAACATAACCTTACAGGCTTATACTTCTTTCATTATAAATAGGGATGGACTCGGGTCGGGTGAACCGAACCGGAACCGGCTCGAACCGGTATTGTTCGGGCCCGAACCGGGCCGGTCCACGGTTCGTTGAGCGGTTCGAGCCAACTGGCCCGGCACTGTACAGGTCCGGTTCACAGGCCTTGTAAATCACGAATCGGGCCGGCCGGTTCGGGCCCGGTTCAGTTCATTTTTTTTTGTTTTTCACATTTTTTTAAAGGGAAATAGGTTGGGTTGGGTGTTTTAGAGGGGTTTGGAGGAGGGGTGGGGGTAGGAAGTAATTAGAAATAAAAAAAAAGAGGTTACCCGACCCAAACCGGCCCGGAAACAGAGCTACCCGGACCGATTTCCGGATCTCACTTCTCCAAAAAAAAGCCCGGTATGAACCGAACCGAGGCCCGGCCCGAACCGAGTCCATCCCTAATTATAAAGAGTATCTCATATTCTCTCATGTTTACTTGTGAGTTGTGACGATGGATTTTCTTAATTAATGTGACTTGGCTATAATTTCAAGACTTGCACAAACGTGATTTCTTTCCCCTCCAAAATGTAGGGGTGGACTCGAGCCAGGCCAACCGGCCCGGAACCGGACCGGCCCGCTACTGTGCTGGCCCGAATCAGCCCGATGAACCGGTTTCGGGCCCGGTTCGAGCCAACCGGCCTGGTGGGATGGCGGTTCAGGCTCGAGGCCTTCAAAAGGTGAACCGGCCCGGCTGGTTCGGGCCCGGGCCAGGCCAATTTATTTTTTTTTTGAATTTTTTTTAGATTTTTGGGTTGGGCTGTGTATTTTGGGCCATTTGAGGTGGTTAGGGTTGGTTTGGGAGTGAAGGGGAGGGTTGGGGGTTAACTAGGAAAAGCCAAAAAAAAAATTAGAACCGAGGCCCGGGTCGGGCTGGTTCCGGGCCTCCCCTTCTGGAACCGAGGCCCGGCCAGGCCCGGGCCTGAACCAGGCCCGAATCGGAACCGGTCCATGCCTACCAAAATGTACCCGTCAATATCCTTTTGACATGGAGACATGGAGTCCGTCAGTCCCTGACTCCGTGCATTTGACTTGTGCAAGTGTGTAACATTGCGCTAGAAATTGTCCTCTTGAACAGTTGAAACTCGATATTTTTACAGTTTTACTTTCTTACTCGGTAAATGTTAAATGCTGATCCAATGAAAAACAGAAACACAGTGAAAAAGTAAGACATAATAAATTGTGTCAAGAAAATAAAACAAGTTTCATAAATAAATAGTACAAAGAGAAACGGTAGTTTAAAAACCACTTTGGACCGTCACAACAAAAATGGCTACACGATGCAAACAAACTTGAAATTAAAAAAAAAACATTAAGCAGCAGCACCAGCTGCCTTGCCCTTCTTCCTCTGCAATTTCTTCATGTAAAACTCAAGTTCTTTTCCTTCCAAAATGTACCTGTCAATGCCAATCATGAAGGACAAAATAAGAAGAAATTAGAACAAACCAATACTGACTGAATATATCGATCTATGCATAGTGATGACAAGTTTAATGGTTTCACGGCTTTTACCCATCAGCTCTGCCACATTGGCCAGGCCTCGAGGAAATGCAGGCCATAAGCCTTCCGGAACTAAATTGCTCTTCAAGATGAGGATCCAGTTTACGGTCCTTCTGGCGAGCCTCAAGTTTCCTTTCCACGTGTTTACTTTTCTTAGTCTCCTCAGCAGCAGTAGGAGCAGCTTCACTTACCTCCTGTCATTGTTAATTAAAAATCAGAAATACAAACTCACAAGTAAGAAACATAAATACTCCAAAATGCCAGTCACTTATCACGTAAGTTTATCAAGGGAGTGTTTGGTCCCAGAAATGCTAGCAAACAGAAAATGCTAAAGAATGTTTGGTATATTTCTAGTTAGCCCTTTACTTCAATATGTAAATTTCTAAACAAATATAAGTAGCTTTTGTACTCCCTCCATCCCGCTAAGATTTTTCCATCTTTCATTTTCAGCCTATCCCACTAAGATTCTCCTATACCGAATTGGCAAAGTTTGTATACTTCTAAATATTTCTTACTTTATTCTTACTTTATGAATTCAATATCAACCACATAAACTCACTTTTCTAAATAGCCATAACATGGTACCACCTTCTAATGTCCCAATGTTAGTGGGACGGAGTTAGTAATTATTATCCAACATATTCAGAATTCCTAACTTCATACTCGATGCTAATAAATATTACACAGTGAAGGTAAAAAAGTCTGAACAAATAAACCTGAGATGCACATTTCAATTTACGCTAAATGTTCTTTCCCAAAAATTAGCATCTTTAATTTTCTCCATATCGTATTTCCCCAGCTATTCAATGTTCCAAACAGAACTAAGGCGTCTTAAGAAAGAATAAATGCATTGCTTGTACCTAGGTCATCAGAAAATAGCACATCAAAAGAAAGCATGAAGGTACCTCAGTAGAATCCTTCTTGGCAGCTACCTTCTTCTTCCTGCCTATATCAACACCATAGTGCTGGAGATACCACTGTTTAAAGGGGGCAGCGTCTACCTGAACAATTGCACTCTTGACCAAGGTTTGTGTTCGGACAAGCTCATTGTTTGATGCATTATAAACCACATCAAGGATACGGGTTTTACGGGTAACTGCCTCACTCCCCCATGAGTAGTTTCCAGTATCTAATCGTAGGGCTCTCCATTTCACATTTCCACCTCGAACACGGACCCGTCTTACAGTTTTGTTGCTTGAGATCTTTGTATTTGCTGGCTGACGTCCAAGCTCATACCTTTTACATGGAAATACGATTGAGCAAATTAAACTAAAGTGAGTAGCTGTTGATTTGGAAAACAATTTGTATCCAGTACTTCCAGACATCATCAGTAAGAAATAGTCCAGAGGCTATTATTCATTGAACACATCGAACCAGAGTTGAATATTCACCACCTTAGCTTATTACATAAACCAGCATAGTTGTCATTTGCCTTTCTGTGGCTTGTCGCTCAGCGTTTTCTTGCACTGCAGCAGCTTTAACTTCTCACGTGTCATCACTTTGTGTGTTTATTTACTTTTGGCTAGTGTTGTTGTTAGTATAATGGGCTAAAATACTCCGTATTAAGTTTTTGTTAGAGTTTTATTATTGTTATGGGTCACAGATTGTTATGGCCCAAAAATTACAAAGCAAATACCGACTGTTTTATTTAAAAACAAGTCGCAGCGCCATGGCAAAGGCACAAGAATGGCGAAGGCACAACAATGACGTCAGCAGTTGTACATTCAGCACCACAATATTCACGTGCCACATTGCACCATCGACAACCATGTAAACCAGCAACACAAAAGGTCAGGGATTGTATTGCAGACCACAATACAATACATTGGTGCAGGCACACAATTGTGGTGCATCACGATGGTGGTGCAACCAGGCATCATAACATTGGCCTTCTTACTAAGAATATTCATTTAATTCTTTATCAATGTGTAGGAACTTAAATTACAGAGTACTTCACTATACAAGATGCTAAGACAGACGCAGTTTTGAACTACCCAATAGGGGAATTATGACTCCAAAAACTCAGCAGAAAAATCAGCAACGCATAAATGATGATACGCCACGCCAAGACTGAAAACAGTAAACATTTCCGCTAACAGAATCATATCAGCCAGAGATGTTAGGTATGCAAATAATTTAGTCATGAACTGGAAACAAGACTAACAAAAAAGAAAGAAAAGAGAGAGGGAGGAACTTACTTTCGCTTCTTCCTCCATGACTTCTTTTTTCCGCCTGTTGCACGCCTCTTGTGCATTGAATCACGAGAGATACCTTATTGAAATCATTACAATCATCAACAAGCACAACCATGAATGATATAATCGCATCGACAAAAAAATATAATGCCTTAGTTTCAAAAGGCACGAGGCGGCATGAGGCGTTTTTGATAAATTTACCCGAGGCACGAAGGCAAAGGCGCGCGCCTCACAAAACATGACCTAATAACTTTGATAAAAAATATATATATATACTACTTCTACATGAAGCACTCTTCCCAAAAATCCTAACGTCCTACAAAAATACCTAAAACCATTAAACAGTCTTAATGAACACCTTAAGAAATTGTTATATACTCCCTCTGTCACAATAAAAACTTCAGTTTTGACCAGGCACACATATTAAAATAGTGGGAATTATGTGGTGGAGAGTTGTGCAGAGGAGAGAGAAATGTGTAAGAATGATTGTGAACCACAAATTCTTTGCCAAAAAGGGAAAGAGGAGATAAATTTGGGACAGACGAAAAAAGAAAGTATGAAGATAATTCCGGGACAGAGGGAGTAATAAACTGTTAATAGTATTTAAGTGTAATTTAAATAATCAATAGTGATAAAATGTTATATAATAAACGTTTACATAAAAAATTGTTAATAAAAACTGTAGTATTATATAAAAAACTGTCATATTTAATTGTTTTACATATATATTAAACAATTAATAGCTATTTCTGAATAAATTTTATGTAATAAACTGCTAATAGTAATTTTTTGAGAATTAATAGAAAATTGTTTTATAAACTGTTATGTAGACTTGCTAGTAATTTTTTAACAGTTTGTTTTACAATAAACTGTCAATACAATTTCTAAGTGATAATAATAGTTCGAGTCAAAAAAAGTGATAATAATAGTTAATATTTTATAAAAAAAATATAAAATAAATATAATAAATTATTAATAATAATAAGCTTTCGTTTATAATTGTTATATAAATGATCTGGTCTGGTCTAAACTGGTATGATAATGTCTAGTTTCTTTGTAGTTTTATAACTATCCAAGTTTGATTTGGTCTGTATGCGACTGAAACAGTCAAGTACAAACATCCTAAATGGCTAAATACACATGAGCGGACACCATCCAAGAAGCGATAGAGGTGGACGCCTCTGAGAAGCGCAAAAAGCGGCAAAAAGAGAGGTATAAGGCGCGCCTGCTAGCATCTACTGCGCCTGGGACTTATGAATGCGATAAAACCATCGCCCAGCTGCGCCTCCCGCTTTTTAAAACTAGGTATAATGCCTTTTAAGGTATAAATAACATGGCTAAATAGCTTCCATTATCATCCAATTTACAGAACAGAACAGTGAGGTCAAGATTTAGAGTGTATACCCATATTTGGAAGAGAAGGGTTTCTCCTTCGCGCAGGGAAGCTCGGAGGCAGCTACAAGTTGTGAACCCTAGAAACGACACACCAAACTAGAGCTGAGTTATAAGCTGTATAAGGCAAATTTAAAGCTGTACGTATTTTTTTAATACTGTACGCTGAATACGGCCCAACGGACTTTTTCTTTAACACCGGGTCCATTCTAACAAATTTACCCTCTTTAAATTTTTTGAAGAATAAAATTAAATTTGTTTTCAATCTCATATCAAATCAGACTAGACTTAAACAGACCAGAGCAGATTAGACCAGACATAAACAAATCAAACCAACAAATTATAGTCCAAATAAAAACATTCATACTTATGTAACAAATTATTTATAATTGATTTTCAAAAAATATGATTGATGGAGTATATGGGTCCGGACTCCATGACCCACATACTCAGAAAAATAAGAAGAGACACAGCTGTCACCCGATGGGTCCTCCGTCGGCCAGATAGCCCTCCATCGGCCAGAAAGACACCAACTCAGAATGTGATCCAGAAGCCAGGAGAATCGGGGTGTCCCCGTCGGCCGGGTCTCCGTCGGCCAGACCCCCGTCAGCCACAAAGAGCTCACAGAGCCGGATTTCACACTTAACCAATTTACATACCTTGTATTCGGCCCAATAGAGGCCTCATTGTAATCGGGCCTCCCAAGCCCAAGACTTGGGAGCCCAGCCCACATTTTCTCTATAAATACTCCCTTTGGGAGTAGTTGTAGAGGGTTTACAAATTCATTTATTGCGGTATTCATTGCACTTCTCTCTCTAGCTCTCACTTCTCTTTAAAAGGTTATACTCTATCATTTGGTGCTTTCATTGAGAGTTAGAACAATCAAGTTAGCATCCTTCGTCGTTACCAAGCACAACTAACTGACTATGGGAAGAGCAAGGTCAAACCGCAACCCCATTGGACAAAAACGATCCCCGAAACTCAAGAGGGTCATGAGCGCTCTGGCGATGCCACGGCCGACAAGGTCGCGGAGGAGGAAGTCTTCCAGGAGACCATCGACCCCGCGGCTTATCTTCGCAACCAGCTCAACGGCAACGCTCAAGACGTTCGCATCGACCTTGAGAAGAAACGCATTGAAAAGGGGGATCATGCATCGGCCTTACAGATCACTCCCGTTGTTGACCCACAGCTGCAGACCGTTGTATCAGCCATTATAGCCAGCTTGGCTCAGAACCCCATCGTCCTCAGCGCACTCATGCCAAGGACGGGGGAGAACACTACTCCACCACCTCCACCGCCCCACCTGTTAGTCATGAAGATAGGCAACGTCGAAGGGGTTGAAGCCCAGGACACGTCGTCATCCGACTCCCACCCTGCTTCCGCGCTTCGAGTTGGACCGACCCTAGCGTGTGGAAAAGCTTCGGCCTTCAATAGGCTAGGTGACACGTGTCGTCGGCTAGCGTCAGAGAGGATGACAGGACGATTTGGTGAACGTGAGCCCTGATCACCAAGGGAGAGCTTGGGGTCCGTATCCCGGACAGCGGATCGACCCCGCCGGGACAAAGGCAAAGGAAAGTTACACAAGTATGACGCACGCCACCAAATCAACACGACTCACGCAGCTCGCGTGCGAGCCCAGCAAGGCGCCACTACGGCTGCCAAGGACCCCTGGGACGAGGTCATCGCCCAGCTGGAGAGGAGGCTTGCCCAGATGGAGGCCAAGCAGTTGGCCGCTATCCCTACGACCAACACGTCCAGGGACCCCGGTTTCGACGCTCTCATGCACAAGGTCAGCACCTTGGAAAGGGAGCTGGCCTAGGGACGGAATGACCCCATCATCCAAATCAGGACCAGGACTCCCTTCACCACGAGGGTACTCTCGAGCCCTATTCCCGAGAAGTATCGGGGGAATGCCATAAAGCCTTATGACGGCCGCACCGACCCTCAGGAGCATTTCAGCTGCTATCAGAACAACATGTTGATGGTGAATGCGTCAGACGAGTACCTCTGCTGCTGGTTCCTTTCCACTCTCGAGGGACCAGCGTACGAATGGTTCAACGCGCTCCCCGAAGGAAGCGTGGACTCATGGCAGGATCTTGCCCAACGTTTCCTCACCCATTTCGCTGGAAGGAAGCGCGTAAAGAAATGTTTCACCCATCTCCTCTCCGTCAAGCAGCAACATGACGAATCACTCCGGTCTTTCATCGATCGATGGACGACGGAGACCGACGAGGTCGAAGGGGCCGATGAGCGCACCCTCCTCGTCCTTTACTAGGGCGCTTTTCGGAGCAGCCCATATGCGATAAGCCTCATCACCGACCCGTCGAGGTCATTGTAACACCCCGGCCCCGCAGGACCCAAGGTAGTTACTCCAAACTCTCTTCGGACCTCTAGTACTGTCCTCACAAACCGCCACTAGCCTTTTCCGCGCACTTTGTCCTCACTCATGCGCGTCCTGAGAAACTTCCCAGGGGGTCACCCATCCCAAGACTACTCCCGTGCAAGCACGCTTAACTTTGGAGTTCTTGGCTAATGAGCTTCCTTAAAAGGAGATGCACCTTGTTGGTATGAGTAGTACTATTAATCCATTTAAATTAAATCTCAAGTATTACAATCACCCCCACTTAGGAACGCAACGTCCTCGTTGCGCCCATCAACCAATCTCAAATCTCAATCAAATCCCAGAATCCTCCCCCGCTAAGTGCCCGCCCAATATCCAACGGGTCAGCACACTGTCGCAGGGTTGCTCTGATACCATTTGTAACACCCCGGCCCCGCAGGACCCAAGGTAGTTACTCCAAACTCTCTTCGGACCTCTAGTACTGTCCTCACAAACCGCCACTAGCCTTTTCCGCGCACTTTGTCCTCACTCATGCGCGTCCTGAGAAACTTCCCAGGGGGTCACCCATCCCAAGACTACTCCCGTGCAAGCACGCTTAACTTTGGAGTTCTTGGCTAATGAGCTTCCTTAAAAGGAGATGCACCTTGTTGGTATGAGTAGTACTATTAATCCATTTAAATTAAATCTCAAGTATTACAGTCATATACGAAGGCACTCCAGCGAGGGAACTTATACGCTGACGCCGACGAGCTCCACTCCCACAAGAAGGATGGAGGGCAGCCCTCGAAGAAGACAAACTCCGCGCAAGCTCCGAGCGCACCCTCGGCCGGGGACCGAGGACAAAGAGGACAGAACCACCAAGGGTCTGGCGGATAGAACAAGAAGGATCGTCCATGGCGTCCGAGGATGGAAATGCCGAGGACCAACCTCACACACTCGGTCAGCTCCATCTTCGATTATGCCGAGGAACATGATCTCATTGCGAGAGACCCTCGGTCGGCGAAGGAAATCTACGCCGTTCATCGGGGAGGCACGTACTGCTGTTACCACAAGAACACCTCCCACAACACTGACGATTCTGTCACGCTGAAGAGACCTATCAAACGTCTGATTCAGCAGAGGGAACTCTCCCAATTTGTTAAAGGTGGCCCACACAAAAATACTTGGGTAAACACCGGCAAAAATGGGGGAGAACCCTCGACGAAGAAGCGTGAGATCGGTAGACTCAACGGCGACGACGAGGACTTCGAGGAGCCCCATCCGAAGAAGAACCACATCCACCTCATCGTGGGTGGCAACACTGGGGGGACTCCGCCACCCAGAGAAAGAAATGGGCCCAATCCCTATATATAGGCGAGGTGTCCCAAGCTCCCCCCGTCCCAAGAAGCAACGGACGGAGGCGATCACCTTCACCGACAAGGATGTGCCTCCAGGCCGCGCATCACACAGGGACACCCTCGTCATCCAATGTGAGATAGGCGCTCTATCATCCACCGCACTTACATCGATATGGGGAGCTCCGTCAACGTCATGTACCTTGACACTTTTCAGGCAACTGAAGTTGGACAAGGCACTGCTCAAGCCGATCTGGACACCATTGTCCAGCGTTACTGGGGACTCTATCGACGTTGAGGGCACGATTGTCCTTCCCGTGGAAGTCGGCGATGGCTCCCATTGCACCAAAATTGACATTGAGTTCATGGTGGTCAACCTCGAGTGCGCCCACAACCTGATCTGGGGGCGGCCAGCATTAGAGGACCTGAAGGCCATCATCTCCATGAAACATTTATGCTTGAAGTTCCCCACCAACAGTGGCATCGGATATACTAGGGGGAACCAGAGGATAGCAAGGGAATGCTACCTCAATCTGACGAAGCCGGTCGGAAATGCCGAGCAAAGAGTAGACACCATCACTACGACCATCGCCAAGGACGTAGATAGGCTGCATGCTTAGCCAATCGATGACGTCGAGGAAGTCCCCTTGGATGCCTCTCGGTCGGAGCGAGTCCTGAAAATTGGGAGACAACTCCCACAGGACCAACGTGACGGCATCCTCCTAGTCCTGCGGTCATATGTCGTCATCTTTGTGTGGGGACCGGAAGACATGTCAGGCATCAGCCGGAAGGTGGTCACCCACCGACTGTCAGTCGATCCAGCCTCCATGCCATTCAAGCAGAAGAGGTGCTACCTTTCAGTCGAGAGACGGGACTTCGTCAAGGGGGAGATCACCATGCTCCTCTCCATCAGCCACATCAAAGAGGTGAAGTACTCAACATGGCTAGCCAACGTCGTCCTCGCCCAAAATCCACCGACATACAGAATGTGCTTTGACTACACTGATTTGAACAAGGCATGCCCCATGGACCCATTCCCTTTCCCCAATGTTGATCAGTTGGTGGACGAGACGACGAGCTGCGAGTTGATGTCGTTCCTAGATGCCTTCAGAGGGTACCACCAGATCTTCATGCATGAAGATGACGCCGAGAAGATGACCTTCATGACCCCGGAGGGAATTTTTTGCTACCTCTTCATGACCTTTGGGCTCAAAAATTCAGGCACCACATGCACGAGGATGGTGGCCAAAATCTTCAGAGCAGTCCTCGGTCGGACGATGGAGGCGTACGTCGACGAAATGATCGTCAAGAGCAAACAATCTACCACCCATGCTGACGACCTCCGGGAAATCTTAGAGATCTTGAAGAAGATCAATCTCCGCCTCAACCCCTAGAAATGCACCTT